CCTGACAGCAGCTGACAGTCCGGTGGAGGACGCAGCCATCTGCGGGATCACGCCCGGACAGGAGAGCGTGTGGGCCAGCACCCCGGCTCTGAGCAACATTTCGGTAAGCGTGCACGCACACACACACACACACAAAGACACACACTCTCCTGCAGAGTAAACGCTGCAGACCTGAACTCTCGCTCAGAGTTTCAGTGTTTTTCTAACTTACAGGAAACACTCCCTCTAAAGTGGCGTGCGTTTGGCGTGCGTGCGTGTGAACAGCTCCTCTTCCTCCTCTGTCAGTCGGCGTCTTACAAACTCAAACCTGCAAGTTTTTAAAGCCGTTTTTTCACCCCCATAAAAGCCGAAACCCCCGGACCGTACGGCATCTGGACCCGGGCGGGAACAGGTGACATCACAGCGACAGCCCTCAGCTGATTGGCTGCTGGTTCCTTTTCCTGAAGCAGGCCCTTCATTAGCTCTGACACAGACTCCGAAGTGTGTTTCCCTTTATTTGTTTGTCTTCTTGGTGACTCTGGGGCGTGTTTGGTTTGCTGCTCAGCAGGTCTCTGCTCTGTCAGAGGGGCGGGTGGAGCTGCAGCTCCGCTCAGGTGTGACTCTGCAGCTTCACGCTCACCTGTGTTACAGAGTTCAGGGACAGTCCTGACGTGATGCAGACTGTCTCCTGATCAAAGGGGCGGGGGGGTTACGCTCACTGAACTCGCTCGACCACCTGGACTAAAAACCACGAGTCGGTGCAGACGACCCGGCCGCTCCTCTTCCCCTCAGACCCCGCAGACATTTAGACTCTGAGCCGACAGAACAGTTGTTGCTGCTGCTGCGCGTTCGTGTCGTTTCCGGGCGTTTGGCGGTTTTCAGGGCTGCAGGCTGAGAGTTGGTGAAACTGCCTTATAAGGGCATGATGTCAAAAAAGAGCAGGAAGTGAAGAAGAACACTTCTTCTTTCTCACACACACACACACACACACTCAGAGTGGCAAGTAGTCTACCTTCAGGCCTTTACTCTGATTGGCTGGGTAGTTTCAGGAAGTGGTTTGCCCCTGCAAGCCTCTGTGCGTGTGTGTGCGTGTGTGTGTGTGTGTTTTGTCTTAACTTGTCTTTTAAACATTCTTCCTTCTCTTCCTTCTCTTCTTCTCTTCGCTCAGACTGAGTCACTGTCTGTCACGTTATTGACTTTTTTCTGATCGTCGATTGATTATCCGATCAGGTATCGAAACAGAATCATGACAACCAGATCCAGAAAAAGTTCCGATCGTGGTCCATATTCTCGGATCAGAGTCAGAAGAGATGAAGAGTCAGAACTTGAGAACTCTGGGACCGATGTTACAACTTCAAAGTTAGAATTCTGAGATTTAAAAAACGTTTAAACTCTGAGATCAAAGTAAAATCTTTGAGTTTGAAGTTTGAATTCTTCGATCAAAGGAAGAATTCTTGGAACAGTTAGAACTCTGAGATTAAAGTTAGAATTGTTAGAACAAAGTTTAAACTCTGAGATCAAAGTCTGAATTCTTTGATGAAATTAAGAATTCTGAGATCAAAGTAAAATTTTTGAATTTGAAGTTTGAATTCTGAGATCAAAGTCAGAATTCTGAGACCACAGTTTAAACTCTGAGATCAAAGTAAAATCTTTGAGTTTGAAATTTGAATTCTTAGATCAGAATTCTTCGATCAAAGGAAGAATTGTTAGATCAAAGTTTAAACTCTGAGATCAAAGTCTGAATTCTTTGATGAAATTAAGAATTCTGAGATCAAAGTAAAATTTTTGAATTTGAAGTTTGAATTCTTAGATTAAAGTTAGAATTCTTAGATCAAAGTTTAAACTCTGAGATCAAAGTCTGAATATTTGGTTTAAAATCAGGATTCTATAGAAAAGTTCAGATCCAGGAAAAGAATTCTTCTGTTTCTGACGTTTTCTCCGGGGGTTGGGTTCGGGTTAGTCTGACGTCTGAACAGACTTCATTTTAATCTCACTGACGAGTTTTAATGACATAATGGCTTCAAAAGATCCTGACTGAGCCAGATTAGGGGGTGTGGCTGAATAAACTGAAGTAACCAAACAAACAGAGAGGAGCTCGTTTGTCAGAAGCGTTTCATTAATTGGAATAAGAGTAAAAACAGTGACTTCATGAGAGTGTGAATGTTTACAGACAAATGTCTCCATCAGAGGTTCGAGGATCCCGACTGTGCTGCTGGTTTTAAAGACTTGACGACACGTCTAATGTAGGGTTTGTCTTTGTGGTCAGTGGTGTGTCGTCTCCCGTAGATCAATATTTGTAAGTTTTACTGTCTGATCGTCTCTGTTTTTATAACACAACACTTCCTCTCCTCTCTGGTTTTACTTCTACCAAGTCGGCACATTTAAAGTGAAGTGAGACTCGCACCGAAGCGATCTAACCTCGTCTAAACCTCGGAGAGGCTCTGAGCACACATGACAACAGCACTCAGTGAAACCAGTTCAACCAGTTCAAAAGAATTCAGCCTGGAAGAAGAAAAACTGCCTCTTCACCTAAAACGTCCTGCCCACGGTGTCGGCGGACTGATCCACACACACTCGAACCCTCATCGGATCAGAGCGGATCAGGTTTAGTCAGATCCTAACAGGCTGAAGTTAGTCCACATGAGCCTGGAGATAAACCAGCACCGGAGGAATAGACGTCAAACACGTTTATACACGAGCTGATTAAACGGACGCTCTCATTGGCCGTTCATCGATGGACTCGGTTAAAAACGTTAAACTCCTCCAGGTTTATAAAAGTGAAGCCAAAACATGAGCCCAGTTCTTTTTTATAGCATCAAATAAATGAAAAACTGAAACTAGATCCACCAATAACATCGCTTCTTATTTACAGTTCCTCAAAGCATCATGGGAAATGTAGTGCTGAACAGTTTGATCCTCCAGATCACCACCTTCTAATCAATATGTGATCGATTAGTCGACTTCATTTTGATAACAGTGACAAGAATGTTCAAGAACCGAGACGAGCGAATAACGATGAACCAACACGTCTCTCTGTCTCTCTCTCTTTCAGGTAGATGAAATCAGAAAGATGGCCAATGACAGGAAGGACTTCGCCATAAACGGCGCTTACTTAGGAGGAAAGAGGTGCCGGCTAATCAGAGACCAGTTGGAAATGGAAGGGGTCAACTGTTGTGACTTGAAAACCGCCGCAGGAGCCGATGGCAGCAACCCCGTCAACGTTTGTGTGGGCAAGAGTAAACAAGGTGAGGCGGTCAGACGGCGCTCTTTTCTAATGAGCGACTGAAAGACTGAAGTGTACGACTGCTGGGGTGGGAGAGAAAATCGATTCACAAAAGTATCGTGATTTTTGGTTTTACAATTTAGGAATCGATTCTTATTCAAAAAATTGTTTTTTTTAGTCAAAAATCGACTTTATAGGCAAAAATCCAAAATTGTAAAACCAAAAAATCGCGATACTGTTTTTTAGTCAAAAAATTGATTTTCTTTTACTAAAACAATCGATTTTAAAAGTTAAAAAAAACATTTTAGTCAAAATATCATTTTTTTTTTACTACAAAATCGAATTTTTTTACTTAAAAATCGATTCCTGAATTGTTAAACCAGAAATCAAGATACTTTTTTAGTCAAAAAATAGTTTTTTGCCTAAAAAAATAGATTTTTTGACTAAAAGACGATTTTTTTTTTAGTCAAAAAATCTATTTTTTGACTAAAAAATCGATTCCTTAATTGTGAAACCAAAAATCGCGATACTTTTTTTGGTAAAATTTTTTTTACCTTACTTAAAAAAATTGATTTTTTTAAGTTAAAAAAAAATTTTTTTTAGTCAAAATATCATTTTTTTTAACTAAAAAATCATTTTTTAGTCAAAAAATTGATTTTTTGACTAAAAAAATCAATATATTTTTTCCAAATTTAAGAATAAATCTTAAAAACTGACTTAAGGTCCTCACACACCAGGACCGATGTGAATGTAGAACACAAAATTACAAAATATTCCGAGGTGAGTTTTGACGCGCCTGAATATACACATCAACCCGATGCGATTTTGCGACTTTCCGGGGGGAAAAAGACGGAACAAAGTCGGCAGAAAGAGGAAGGTGGCAGTGAAGGGGGCGGGACTCTGTGTCACTTGACCAAATATTTTGTCATATTTCTGATGGATGGATTGTTGACTCTGTTTTTTGTCTCCGCAGCCATCGTTGTGGCTTTTGCCAAAAAAGATTCCGGAGGAGGACCGCTGGGCGACAAGGTTTTTAAAACTGTTGATCATCTGCGGAAATGCAACATGTAAGATGGCTGCTGCACCCCCCCACCCCCATCCCCACCCCCTTCACCCACCAACAAAGATGGCCGCCATCACCCTACCTAGAAAATCATCCCAGTTCTGACCCCCTTAGCTTTCCTTTTTTGTCCTTTTGTTGATCTGGTAGACGTAGTTCTGGCCTCTGGGATGTCAAAGATATTTAAAGTTCAGCGGTGAAGCTAAAGCTCCTCTGTGCATTTCCTGTTTGAAGCAGTGTTAGATATTTTCAGCATGGATGGATCAGTGTACACCCCCAGCTCTGTGCAGACTCACCCCTGGAGAAACAAAAATAAAAGACCTCGATGTTTATTCTGAAAGTTTGATTGAGTTTTATTCTGAAAGTCACTGTGTGTCTCTGTGTGTCTGAGTGGTATTCTTAGGAACCTGTAATGTGGGGACATTTGGACCAGTCCTCACAAGAGCATATAAACAAGTGCAAGTGTGTGAAACTTTCTAATATAATTACTGCCAACTATACTTTAGTACTTACACTGTGAGTACTGCACATGCTCACACAGTTACCATCACCACATGACAGGCTGGGTGGCCCCGCCCCTCTAAAGAGTGCAAACGCACCTTTGGGGGGGTCCACAGCATCTATGGTTCCAAGACCTCCAGAAAGAATCTGACCCCCGACCTCCCCCTTCATCCTGATCGTCTCCTAAAAGGTCGTATCCTCCGATCGTAGCTGATCGTAACCATTCAAGTTAACGTGTCAATTTACACCGACTTCTTTCCGTTCCTCTGCGGATCGCCGGACTCCTCAGCTGTGGATACGACTAAACTCATAACTCGTCTTTTTCCGACTTCTCTCCTTGTCCTCGTTTACATGCAGCTGAGAAAACCGAATTATTGACGTGAACGTGTCCTCCTCCCCAACACTAGGGGGCGATATGGGTCTTTTCAGCGGTGCTGTTTCCGACCCCATCCAACCGTCAACAACAACAGCAGGTCGGTGTCAGACGTCAGAAGTGTCTACAACTGCTGCTGAGACGAACTCTTCTTCTCTGGTGTTTTTGTTACGGGGTTACGGGGGCGTGGCCTGTAACTGATCAAACTCCAACTACGCTGGTTACACGGTCGAGAAAATCGAATTCCAGTCGCATTATCTGGGTGTCGTAATCGGAGTTCTCCGACTCTGATTATAGTCGGAATAAAGTGTTTACATGACCTTCAGGTGTCCGGTCTTAATCGGAATAAGGCGATAATTTGGTTTTCTCGGGTGTCATGGAAACGGACTGACTGAAGGTTGGTCTTCGACCCGGTCATGTGACTAACCTCGAGATGTTCCTGCGGGTTTTCAGTTGTCATAGTTGACCGTGTCGTCCCTCCCCCAGGAAAGATTCAGAGTTAAAGAGTTAAATGTTAAATGAATGAAGAGGAGGAAGAGGAGGAAGAGGAGGAAGAGGAGGAAGAGGAGGAAGAGGAGGAAGAGGAGGTGCCCCGCCCTCCCCGCGGTCATGTGTGGTTATATTTAGCTCGCTGTAAAGGCCGACCGGCGGCTGGACCGGCTGCAGTGTCTGTGTACAGTGTGTGATACAGTTAAAGGTGAGCGTAAAGGGTAAGATGTTTGTGTGTGTGTGTGTGTGTGTGTGTGTGTGTGAGTGTGTGTGTGTGTGTGTGTGTGTATTAGGGTTAGTGCCCTTTGCAGTGAATGCTGAGCTGGTCTCACATTTCCTCTCTGGATGAACTTTGACCTTCTCTATCTGAGTTAGGGACCGTCTGTCTAGTTCACCCCACAGACTGTATCTGAAGAAGACTCGCCTGAGAGGATCCACAGAGACGCGGTTCAGTCCTCCGACAGCTGATGACGGCGGGCCTGCAGGTGAGGTCGGAGTCAGAACGTCAGAGCGGGTCAAAGGCGAATAAAGGCGGTCCACACTGTAGATGAGAGGTTCTGAACTGGTCTCACTCTGGGACCCACAGTCTCCCATCGTCCTGAAGACCCACTTTTATAAAATCCAAACCAAGAAAATTTATTTCTTTATTAAAAAAAACTTTAAAGTCTCAAATCTTTGACATAAACACGTCATTTTTACTGAGTGAACCGAGGACGGCAACTACCGAAGTTTCGTGTGCAGAAAAAATCAAATCACACAAAATAAAGACCAATCAAAATAAAACAAGTATTTATTTTTACTGCATTCAGGCCACATCAACAAGACACTGAGGAGGACCACCACATAAAGCATGCCTTTCAAAATAAGATATTTTTCAAAATAAGATATTTTTCAAAATAAAAGACGCGCATTACATATTTACTTTTTTGACCAGCTTCACGCCGTTATCCCGAAATCAGGTTCATGAGCGGACTCGGAGACCAGGACCTGAAACAACAACTGCAGCGTCTCCGACATCGGTCCAAATCTTGTCCAAGAGAGACGAAGAAGAAGAAGCGGCGGCCGTTAGCAAACTAGCTTTAGCATCTCTCCGCTCAGAAGACTTACGATGAAAAAACGTTTGAGTTCGAGTCCCTGCAGGTCAAACATCGAGACTTTTAACGGCGCTCTCACAGCTTAACTTCAAAATAAAAGCAGAGTTTAAGCTAGCTTGTTTCCTTTTTCTTTTTTTTATTAGGATGGTAGGAGAAAGTCCCGCCTCCTTCGCCTCTGATTGGCTAGAAAAGCTGGAAACATCGTCACACGCTCAAGCCGAGCGCGGGCTGTCGGCTCTGAACATCGAACAGAACATTATCGAGCTTCTGAACCAATCAGAGGCGAACAAAAAAAAAATTTGCGTCCCCGAAACTCGATTTTGTACTGGGCATGTGCGAAACTTACGTCACTTCCTCTGTAAATTTATTAAACTTTAAAAACTTTATTTAAACTTCCGATCGATTCAGAAACAAGATGGCGATGTGACAGGCTAGCTAGCAGGAGGCTCCAGAGCTAACGCCGAGGTATTCGCCAGAGCTCCTGCCCAGAACGGTGAGACCTTTACGGCTACAGAGAGCGCCACCACCTGGTCAAAATTATACAGCGTTTTAATTTCCACACTGAAATATTCTCATTCATTCAAACCTTTTAGAACTACGTTACAATTTTACAGTTTAGCTGGAGGAGGAGCCTTTAATCGTCAAACTGGGCGCCATTCTCTGGACCGTCCGGCGCTCTGCTTCGGTCGGGGGAAGAACGCCGTTCAGGAGAAAAGAAAAACGTGTGACCGTTAGCATCGATAAACTGAAGCGAGCTCGCTGATGTTTTCCTCCGAAGTCAGATGTCGGAGCTGAAAATGACGTCACGCCCGAGTTATCGGCGTTTCCGTTACAAAGTCGGAAAAAAACAAAATGGCGACATCTACGAATGTTATTTTAGCTCTTGCCTAATATTCGGACAACACAAGCATAGACGTCGCTAACTTGTTTCTGCCTCTGATTTCGCTTTTTTCCGACTCGGTAACTGGAGTGTGACGTCATTTTCAGAGTCAAAGCTGATTGGTCAGTTAGACAGTCGGGTCAGGTGGGACTTTAACGGCGAAACAAGATCTGTTATCTCAAAATAACGTCAAGATCACAAACTTATCAGAGAAGAGCAAATGTACAAAAATAAGAAATACAAGCTTTGTCCACAGGGGGCGCCAAACCTGACCCTGAAAGTTCCTTATAGGAGCTTTAAAGTTGTGGGATCTCTCTGCGGTTTCAGAGGAATTCTCAACATGTCTGTACAGGTGAGAAGGTCTGTGCTCAGGGGGTGGATGAGAGACAGACAGACGGACAGACAGACAGAGGGGTGAGACAGTGTCCCCTCTGAGTGTCCTCGTGGACTCTGGTCTCTCAGGGTGGGTCCTGAATCCTCTCTGGAGTTTTATCTCCCGTCCCCTCTGTCAGGGTTTTTCTGCTCCTGGAGCTCCTGTGTTTGCAGACGCTCCCTGACTCCCCCGTCCAGCCTCCTCCTCCCCCTCCACAGGGAGGGAGCGTCTATAAAAACTCGGCTCAGGGACAGACGGACACTTTCCACGTCAGTGAGACAGTCAGACGGACGGACGGACGGACGGCCCCAAGACGACACCCCCTCTTCTCTGAGAGCACAGCTGAGGTAGGCTGGAGCCAAACTGAGACCTGGTTCTCTTCTTTTTCAGGTCTGACCCCTGTTCTTATTTTGAAAGGACACTTCCTGTTTCTTTCACACTCTTGTTTCTGAAAGAGTCTGCGGTCTGTTCGCCCGCCCGTCTCATTTCTCTCCTTTTAAAGCTTCAGTTTGCAGGAGGGTTCGGGGTTCGGGGTTCGGGGGGCTGGGTTAGGGTGAGCAGGACTCTCCCAGTCCAGAACTTTCTGAGCAGTTTTCCTCCAAAGACAGAAAACCTTCAGGACGTTGACTTTGAGCCGCCTGAAGGTCAGTGTGCTGAACAAATGAAATGAGACAAACAGCAGCAGCAGCAGCAGGAGGAGCTCAAAGTCCAGAGAGAGAGAGAAAAAAGGGTCTGAGCGAGGGAGTGAGCGAGGGAGCGAGGGAGCGAGGGAGCGAGGCCGTTAAAAAAGAGGAAACACAGTCAGTCTGCACTTTCTAATCAGCTCCAACTCTTATTACTGTAGGGGAGACCGGGGTCAGCTCTACGTTTTCTTCTGTTACTCACAGAGACTTTAAAATACACGTGTGTGTGTGTGTGTGTGTGTGTGTGTGTGCACGAGTTATAAAAGCCGATGAACAGAAGACAGTTTTTTTGATTTAATGTGATAAAAAGTTCTGATGTTTTAGTCGACCCAGTCACCGGTGTGGTTTTCAAGAAACGTGTCGTAGAAACCCGACGTACTGAAACACGCAGTAGCTGTGATCTGATGGAACTAATGAAGGAAACACTGAGACATAATTAAGACATCATTAAGACATAATTAAGACATAATTAAGACATAATTAAGATGACTTTAGGTTCAGTTATCGTTTTCGTTCACACTCAGAAGAGCTTCGATGAAAAAGAGAAATCTCTGTTTATAAATGCTCTGAGAAATACTGATTAAAAAGTCGACAACCAGCTACATCACTGAAGAAGACTGTAAAAAAAGACTGTTAAAACTATAAAAACTATAAAAACTGAAAAAAAAACTATAAAAACTGTAAAAAAGACTGTTAAAACTAAAAAAACTATTAAAACTGAAAAAAAAACCTGTTAAAACTAAAAAAAAACTATTAAAACTGAAAAAAAAACCTGTTAAAACTAAAAAAAAACTGTTAAAACTGTAAAAAAAAACTATTAAAACTGAAAAAAAAACCTGTTAAAACTAAAAAAAAACTATTAAAACTGTAAAAAAAAACCTGTTAAAACTAAAAAAACTATTAAAACTGTAAAAAAAAACTATAAAAACTGTAAAAAAAAAACTGTTAAAACTAAAAAAACTATTAAAACTGTAAAAAAAACTATAAAAACTGTAAAAAAAAAAACCTGTTAAAACTAGAAAAACTAGAAAAACTGTTTAAAAAAAAACTGTTAAAACTGTAAAGACTGTAAATATGGTAAAAACTGTAAAAATGTTTTTTAAAAAAACGTAAAAACTGTAAAAATGTAAAAAAAAAAAAACAGTAAAAATGGTACAAAAAATGTAAAGACAAAAATGGTAAAAACTTTAAAACTGTTTCAAAAACAGTAAAAACTGTCAATAATTAAAAGTCAATACTGTGAAAACAAATTATTCACTGTAAAAATGGCAAAAACTTTAAAACTGTAATAAAAATGTAGAATTGTAAAAAATGTAAAGACTGTTAAAATGGTAAAAACTTTGAAAATGTCAAAAAATGTAAAAAACATTAAAAAAACTGTAATAACTGTAAAAATGTTTTTTTTTTAAAAACGGTAAAACCCTGACCCCTATTTGCAGACCTGATTCGATCTAAAACCGTCAGATCATGATTCCACGTTCAGCGAGTTTGAGTGACGATCTTTGAAACCGAAATTAAGTTTAAATTTCTTTAACTTCAAAAAAAGAAAAAGAAAAAACTGCACAACAGAAAAACAACTTTAAAACTTGGAACTCTGCAGCAGGAGGAGGATCCAACTGAGCATGTGCAGAGTCAGAGCTGTCTCCTATTGGACAAGTGCTCGGGTTAGCCTTAGAGCTAACAGAAAGTAGCATGAGGAGAAGAACAAGAGTTAGAGAAGATTCAGGACCAGGAGTCCAAGGAGGAGTTAGGAGAGGAGATAGGAGAGGAGTTCAAGGAGGAGATAGGAGAGGAGTTCAAGGAGGAGATAGGAGAGGAGTAAGGAGAGGAGATAGGAGAGGAGATAGGAGAGGAGAAAGGAGAGGAGATAGGAGAGGAGATAGGAGAGGAGTTCAAGGAGGAGATAGGAGAGGAGTAAGGAGAGGAGATAGGAGAGGAGTTAGGAGAGGAGTTCAAGGAGGAGATAGGAGAGGAGTAAGGAGAGGAGATAACAGAGGAGTTAAGAGAGGAGTTAGGAGAGGAGTTCAAGGAGGAGTTGGTTTTTGACCACAGGTGTTTTCAGCCGATTATTAAAAACAACATCAGAGACTGAAATGAGTTTCCTGTCAGAGACGAAGTTAACATCAGAAACTTTAGCATCTGTGTGTGTGTGAGTGTGTGTGAGAGAGTGTGTGTGTCTGTGTGTGTGTCTGTGTGTGTCAGTGTGTGTGTGTGTGAGTGCAGTGAGGTCTTTGTAAAGGCCATAATTGGGCTCAAGTTTTCTTATAACGGCTCAGCTGTTCTGTATCACTGAGCTCTGCACACACACACACACTCAGATATTTGGTTACATAACAGTCTGACCATGCTAACATGCTAACATGCTAACATCATGCAGTAGTTTGTGACTCCTCCTTCACGTTCAGATCTGAATATAAATGATATTTTCACAAACAGAACCAGATCCAGGTCTCATTAAAGGGGTCCAGGTCCGGGTCCTGAGAGTAAACAGATCTAGATCCAGGTCTCATTAAAGGGGTCCGGGTTCTGAGTGGACCTGGTCTAACATGTGAATTATTCTGAGTGTTTTAAATCCTGAAACCACCTGAGCAGGTATCAGAGTTCAGGAACCTCCTCACCTGTGATTTCACCTCCAACACTCCCACTCAGGACGGGACAGTGACGCCCTCTGGTGGTCAAACTCTGTGGAGACATCAGAAACATTAATATTCATAAATGATCCAAACTGAGTCGAACTTTATTCCAGTTCTGATCGTCGTCTATCACACTGGTTCTGAACTGGTCTCACTCTGGGACCCTCAGTTTCCCATGATCCTTCAGACCCACTTTTATAAAACTCAAACCAAATTTACATTTTATTTTATTTATTCTTCACAAAAAAACTTTAAAGGCTCAAATCTTTAACATAAATACAGTTTTTTATTGAGTAAAGTGGATTTCAGAGCAGATGAACTAAAGACGACGACTGAAGTTACAAAAACAGAAAATATCAAATTAAACAAAATATCACCATAAAAAAAAAACATGTATTTTTACTGCATTCAGGCCACAAGAAACCGAGGAAGACCACGACATAACGCGTACCTTTCAAAATAAAAGACATGCCAAACACTAGATGAGCATCAATGATTTACTTTCTTTGACCAGCTGTTTGCAACCCATCCAGAACGTGTCCACGACCCACTTTTGGGTCGGGACCCACCAGTAATAATAATAATAATCATTATTATTATTATTATTTTATTATTATTATTGTTATTATTACTATTATTATTATTATTATTATTTTATTATTATTATTTATTATTATTGTTATTGCTATGATTATTGTTTTATTATTATCATTATTGTTGTTGTTATTATTATTATTATTGTTATTATTATTATTTTTAAATTATTATTATCATTATTGTTATTATTATTATTATTATTGTTATTATTATTATTATTGTTGTTATTATTATTATTTTATATTATTATTATTATTATTATATACGTAGTAGTGATTGGTTTAAATCGCATTAAACGTCAACCTGATCATTATACATCATCCCTAAAACCACAGGGTGAATTTAGACACTGAAAACTTCGTACAGACACTGACACACACAGACATTAGGCTGTGTCTGTGTCTGTGTCAGTGTCTGTGTTTGGGACCTTCAGTTATCAGAGACTAAAGAGGTTCATATCATCTCACAGTTACAAATACCTCAGTAAATGTCAAACACTGAAGAGTGTGTGTGTGTGTGTCTGTGTGAGTGTCTGTAATGTTATATCAGCTGAGAGGAAGCCGCTGTGACCTCTACAGAAAGGTCAAGGAAAAGGCTAAAGGGTTCAGGCAGCAAACCTGCTGTATTTATAACTGTCCTAGGAGGAAGGAGGAATCCACACACACACACACACACACACACACACACACACACACACACACACACACCCCTCTGGAAGCAGAATGGTCTCTCCTTCTCTCTCATTGGTTCCTGTAACTCTCTGTTATCGGTCCAGCTCTGTGATTGGCTGAGAGGAGGAAGAGGGTGGACGGGCTCTGATAGGGGGCGGGGTTTGCTGTCATGGAGGCGTCATGGCGTTCCACAGGATGAGTGCAGCAGCAGGTCACACACAGACTCACACAGACTCACACAGACTCGTTCATAAACAGAGTCCTGCTCTTCGTTGTTTCCGTCTCCTCCGTCTGTTTTTAGTTTCTTTACGGGGACGTTAATCAGAGCGGAGGTGAAGGTGTCTCTCTCAGTCCTCGTCCTCTCTCTGTCTCCGAGTCTCTCTCCTGTCAAACACACTCTCTGCTCTGTCAAGGTCGCTCTGTCTCGTGTCTCTAATTCTGTCTCTCTGTCCTCCATCAGTCAGGATGTCCATCACTAAGATCCACGCCAGAGAGATTCTGGACTCCAGAGGAAACCCCACAGTGGAGGTGGACCTGTGGACCGCCAAGGGTGAGACCCCCTAAATGTAGAAATATGTGGAGACGTCTCTGATTGGACCGTTTTCTGTTTCAAACATGTCTGTAGTCTCAGTGACACCACGTCTACAAACAGACAAAGAGGTGGATTCTGGGACACAGCAGTCAGAAAAACATCAGGACACGCCCCTAAACACACCTGATTATGTGACTTATTATAATCTGATGTAAACAAGAAGGTTTAGTCTTAATCTGATTTAAAACAGCGAGTTTAATCCTTAGATACCAGAGTTCTAACTTTGATCTCAGAGTTCTAACTTTGATCTCAGGGTTCTAACTTTGATCTCAGGGTTCTAACTTTGATCTCAGAGTTCTAACTTTGATCTCAGGATTCTAACTTTGATCTCAGAGTTCTAACTTTGATCTCAGGGTTCTAACTTTGATCTCAGGATTCTAACTTTGATCTCAGGGTTCTAACTTTGATCTCAGGGTTCTAACTTTGATCTCAGGATTCTAACTTTGATCTCAGGGTTCTCTTTGATCTCAGAGTTCTAACTTTGATCTCAGGATTCTGACTTTGATCTCAGGGTTCTCTTTGATCTCAGAGTTCTAACTTTGATCTCAGAGTTCTCTTTGATCTCAGGGTTCTCTTTGATCTCAGAGTTCTAACTTTGATCTCAGGATTCTAACTTTGATCTCAGGGTTCTCTTTGATCTCAGAGTTCTAACTTTGATCTCAGGGTTCTCTTTGATCTCAGGGTTCTAACTTTGATCTCAGAGTTCTAACTTTGATCTCAGAGTTCTAACTTTGATCTCAGGATTCTAACTTTGATCTCATGGTTCTAACTTTGACCTAAGGATTCTAACTTTGATCTCAGGGTTCTAACTTTGATCTCAGGGTTCTAACTTTGATCTCAGAGTTCTAACTTTGATCTCAAGATTCTAACTTTGATCTCAGGATTCTAACTTTGATCTCAGAGTTCTAACTTTGATCTCAGAGTTCACTTTGATCTCAGGGTTCTAACTTTGATCTCAGACTTCTAACTTTGATCTCAGAGTTCACTTTGATCTCAGGGTTCTAACTTTGATCTCAGGGTTCTAACTTTGATCTCAGGGTTCTCTTTGATCTCAGGGTTCTAACTTTGATCTCAGGGTTCTAACTTTGATCTCAGAGTTCTCTTTGATCTCAGAGTTCTAACTTTGATCTCAGAGTTCTCTTTGATCTCAGGATTCTAACTTTGATCTCAGGGTTCTAACTTTGATCTCAGGGTTCTCTTTGATCTCAGAGTTCTAACTTTGATCTCAGGATTCTAACTTTGATCTCAGGGTTCTAACTTTGATCTCAGGGTTCTCTTTGATCTCAGGGTTCTAACTTTGATCTCAGGGTTCTAACTTTGATCTCAGGGTTCTCTTTGATCTCAGAGTTCTAACTTTGATCTCAGGATTCTAACTTTGATCTCAGGGTTCTAACTTTGATCTCAGAGTTCTAACTTTGATCTCAGGGTTCTCTTGATCTCAGGGTTCTAACTTTGATCTCAGGGTTCTCTTTGATCTCAGAGTTCTAACTTTGATCTCAGGGTTCTCTTGATCTCAGGGTTCTAACTTTGATCTCAGGGTTCTCTTTGATCTCAGAGTTCTAACATTGATCTCAGGATTCTAACTTTGATCTCAGAGTTCTAACTTTGATCTCAGGGTTCTAACTTTGATCTCAGAGTTCTCTTTGATCTCAGAGTTCTAACTTTGATCTCAGGGTTCTCTTTGATCTCAGAGTTCTAACTTTGATCTCAGGATTCTAACTTTGATCTCAGAGTTCTAACTTTGATCTCAGGGTTCTAACTTTGATCTCAGAGTTCTCTTTGATCTCAGAGTTCTAACTTTGATCTCAGGGTTCTCTTTGATCTCAGACTTCTAACTTTGATCTCAGGATTCTAACTTTGATCTCAGGATTCTAACTTTGATCTCAGGGTTCTCTTTGATCTCAGAGTTCTAACTTTGATCTCAGGATTCTGACTTTGATCTCAGGGTTCTCTTTGATCTCAGAGTTCTAACTTTGATCTCAGGGTTCTCTTTGATCTCAGGGTTCTCTTTGATCTCAGAGGTCTAACTTTGATCTCAGAGTTCTAACTTTGATCTCAGGGTTCTCTTTGATCTCAGGGTTCTTACTTTGATCTCAGAGTTCTAACTTTGATCTCAGGGTTCTAACTTTGATCTCAGAGTTCTAACTTTGATCTCAGGATTCTAACTTTGATCTCAGGGTTCTGACACAAAAACAGAGTCACTGATGTTCTAACCCGGCTGGTGAGTTTACATACTTGGTAACGCCCCCCCCTCTTCTGTCGCTCAGGTCTCTTTAGGGCAGCCGTTCCCAGCGGCGCATCAACTGGAGTCCATGAGGCTCTGGAGCTCCGCGATGGCGATAAGAGTCGTTACCTGGGCAAAGGTAGGCTGAGGGTTCAGAGTCTGGGTCTGAGATACCAGGTGGAACGTTTTATCACACTTTAGGTCTGTGCTTCCTCCGCAGGTACCATCAAGGCTGTGGACCACGTGAACAAGGACATCGCCCCCAAGCTGATCGAGAAGGTATGACATGATCAGAAGGAAACATGAGAAATCGTTAATGAACGTCGCTGTTTTAACGACCGTCTCTCTCTCTCTCTCTCTCTCAGAACTTCAGCGTTGTCGAGCAGGAGAAGATCGACAAGTTCATGCTGGAGTTGGATGGCACAGAGAACAAATGTAAGGATCTGTCTGTCTCACCCGTCTCTCTGTCTCACCCGTCTCTCACCCGTCTCTCTGTCTCACCCGTCTCTCTCTGTCTCCTCACAGCTAAGTTCGGAGCTAACGCCATCCTGGGCGTGTCCCTGGCCGTCTGTAAGGCTGGAGCGGCAGAGAAAGGCGTCCCCCTCTACCGCCACATTGCTGACCTGGCTGGACACAAAGAAGTCATCCTTCCTGTTCCTGTGAGTTCCAGACTTTAACAGGATCCCAGACCTGAACGCGGTCTCTCCGCCCTCTTTGAGACTCTGTCCTGTTTCGTTTATTCCTGTTTTTCTCTGCAGGCCTTTAACGTGATCAACGGCGGCAGCCATGCCGGAAACAAACTGGCCATGCAGGAGTTCATGATTCTTCCTGTCGGCGCCGCAAACTTCCACGAGGCCATGAGGATCGGCGCCGAGGTGCGTTGGCTTCTTCATCAGAGATCATTTCCTGAGTGTCGTCATCGTCCACCTGTCTGACCGTGTGTTTGTGTGTCCAGGTCTACCACAACCTGAAGAACGTGATCAAGGGGAAATACGGCAAGGACGCCACCAACGTGGGAGATGAGGGAGGCTTCGCCCCCAACATCCTGGAGAACAACGAGGGTGAGGCACGCTCCCAAAAGACCCGGTTACAGACGAGGGTCCCAGACGTGTTCTGAACCCGAGTGTTCTGCCGAGTTGTCCAACAACGTCCAACCGTAGGATGAAATGACAGACGTATCTGTGTCCTCTCACCTCGTCTCCGCAGCTCTGGAGCTCCTGAAAACCGCCATCGAGAAGGCCGGATACCCCGACAAGATCATCATCGGGATGGACGTGGCCGCCTCCGAGTTCTTCCGCAGCGGGAAGTACGACCTCGACTTCAAGTCACCCGACGACCCGTCCAGACACATCAGCGGCGAGAAGCTGGGAGACCTGTACCGCAGTTTCATCAAGAACTACCCCGGTAACAAAGTCGAGTCTTGATCTGAACAGAAAGACCGAAAACCACGACTGTACCTGACCGTCTGTAACTGACCGTCTGTCACTGACCGTCTGTCTCTTTGTCTCCAGTCCAGTCCATTGAGGATCCATTTGACCAGGATGACTGGGATAACTGGGCCAAGTTCACCGCCTCCACTGACATCCAGGTGAGACACACAGACACACACACACAGACACACACACACAGACACACACACAGACGGTTTTGCGACCGTCCATAAACTTTCAAATGTCCGTTTCTGTCATGAACGATAACAGCGCTCTCCTCGTCGTTCCTAAAGTCGTCGTTCTTTCGTGTTTCAGCTGCTTCTGGGTCGAGAGTTCGTTAAATGATCGCGCCGCTTCTTCTTCTCAGAGTGTGTCTTTAATTAACCAATCAGTTCCTGTTTGATTTGAACCAATCAGATCGTAGGAGACGACCTGACAGTGACCAACCCAAAGAGGATCCAGCAGGCGGTGGACAAGAAGGCGTGTAACTGTCTGCTGCTCAAAGTCAACCAGATCGGATCAGTCACCGAGTCCATCCAGGCGTAAGACAAACACCTGTCTCCCTACCTGTCCACCTGTCTGTCTCTCTACCTGTCCACCTGTCTGTCTGTCCACCTGTGTGTCTGTCCACCTGTCCACCTGTCTGTCCACCTGTCTGTCTCTCTACCTGTCCCCCTGTCTGTCCACATAAACCGTTTCCTTATTCCTGTTGTTTGATTTCAGGTTTAACTGATTTTCATTTTGTCTCCCTGCCTTCCATGCCCCCCCCCCCCCCCTTGGTCATACCTGTCCTTCTCTCTACCTGTCCCCCGCCCCCGTCCGTCCCTCAGGTGTAAACTGGCTCAGAGCAGCGGTTGGGGGGTGATGGTCAGTCATCGCTCCGGAGAGACCGAGGACACCTTCATCTCTGACCTGGTGGTCGGACTCTGCACTGGACAGGTGAGTCAGGTCACATGACTGACAGGTGGAGGCGGGGTCAGGGTGGAGACAGGTGGAGGTCACTCTGTTCTCTCTCTCTCTCTCTCTCTCAGATTAAGACCGGCGCCCCCTGCAGGTCAGAACGTCTGGCTAAATACAACCAGCTGATGAGGTGAGGATTTCCTGTCTCTACAAAATAAGAGCATGGTCTCTAATCCTTCAAAGTAAAAGCTCCGTCACTGATGCAGAGTGGAATGACTTTGACCTTTGACCTTTAGGATCGAGGAGGAGCTCGGCGACAAGGCCAAGTTCGCCGGCAAAGACTACCGCCACCCGAAGATCAACTAAAGCTCCGCCCTGACCTTCTGTCTGTCATCCTGACGACTGATTGGTGACCTCTGAGGCCCCTCCCTCCCCCCTCAGCTGGGGGAGAGAGGTCAGAGGTCATGGCGGGTTCACGCCCGCCGTCCTAGTTATAATTCCATTAAAGATGTTTTTTACAAAAAAACACAATAAAGACGAAAGAAAACAAGAAAAACAGTCTGTGAGAAAAACACGTTCTTTCAAAATAAAAGACTTCAAACTTAGAAGTTAGAGACGGTCAGGGAGGTTTATTTTGGAGGGACAACATGAGAGATAAAAACATTCAAGAGTGACGAGAAACAGTCCGAAAAGTCTGACGTTATAGACCTTTAGATTCTAGATTCTGTGTTCGACTTTGTGACTTCGTCAGGAACTTCGATTTCAACAAAATAAAATCATTAAAACGACTAAATTCAAAAATGTTCTCATTAAAATTAAGACACTTGAGTGGCTGTTGACCCGGTTTGATCAATATCTAATAATCAGAGTAAAAACTGGAATCATGAGAGCGCTGACACTGAGAAACAGACTTAAGATTAGACTTAATCTCAGCGTCTAGATTCTGTTTATCTTTAGACTGAACTCAGACGGAGTTTTAAAACTGATCTCTAAGAACTAAAACTCTAAATACAGTCAGACCCTCGTTAGACGGCGAGATTTAACTTGGTCTGAATTTAGACGTCTAAAAAACTCTCATTTTGAGGTAGTCTGATTTTAGTCCAGACGTCTAGACTACATGTAGATGTCTCTTTGACTAAAAACTGCTCACAGTCAGATCCTCTTCATTCTCAGTTTTCATGTTTTTCTCTGTCCAGATGTGAGAGTTTAGATGTCTGTGTGAGGACCACCACAACAACTATGATAATCAATATTTTCATTGATAATGAAGCCGAACAAGAAAACTGAGAGACCAGAACCAAACTGGAGGAGAGAGAACTGTTTTAACAGCTGATTTCAGACCCGGGTCAGAACCGACCCGTTAACATGGAGGGAGTGAAGTCAAAACTAAAACAGGAGGAAGAGGAATCTGACAGTCTACATCCTGACGACAGGATCCCTGACTCTGGGCTCAAGATACCGTCTTATCAAAGTCAACGTTCAAGTTAAAGAGAAATATTAAACTTCAGGGTCTGTGGGGCTTTTATTTTGAAATGACTTTTATTTTGAATAGACTTTTATTTTGGATTGACTTTTATTTTGAAATTGACTTATTTTGAATTGGCTTTTATTTTGAATTGGCTTTTATTTTGAATTGGCTTTTATTTTGAAATTGACTTATTTTTAATAGACTTTTATTTTGAAATTGACTTATTTTGAATTGGCTTTTATTTTGAATTGGCTTTTATTTTGAATTGGCTTTTATTTTGAAATTGACTTATTTTGAATTGGCTTTTATTTTGAATTGTTTCCTATTTCTTCATTTGACTCCTCCCACTGAGCCTTTTTTGGTCTAAGAGACATCTACATGTAGTCTAGATGGCTGATCTAAAATCAGGTGTTTCAGATGTCGAAGTTTAGACCAAGTCTAACTCTGGTCTCCATCTTTACTAAACTGTATTTTGCTCGACGACTATCATGATTATTTTGGTGAAGTACTTGCAGATCAGGTATAAACTCTCAGATGGTTTTTGAAATAGATAGTTATCGAATAGTTAAAGTGCGACGTCTGAATTCAGTCTAAAAATAAACAGAATCTAGACGTTGAAATTGGGTCTAAAATAAACTAGATGTCTAACAGCGTCTGTTTCTCAGTGGGACACAGAGGAACTTCCTCTGCAAGGAAAACGTCAATGAAGCAGATGCTGAATGCAACAGCGCCCCCCTGTGGAGACATATGACATTACACACGTCTCCTGAACAGAGAGAGAGAGAGAGACACTGTCCTCTAGTTTAAAAAATGGACAACGTCCCCCAACGAGAAACTGAGCAAAGAAATCCTGATGAGAGAGTCCACTGATGATGTCCAGTCAGGTCCGCCGCGCCGACAAGGCGTTCCCGAGCACATTTTGGTATTTTGGTGAGCGGCGCAGCCCGGTGTAAGTATCCTCCCTCCCTAACTCAGCTCCTCCCAGCGGCGTGCGTCGTAGAGAGGGAGGAGAGAGGGCGTGGCGTGGGTTTAACACAGCCGAGACCTGTTTTCACCATCAGCTCCTCTCCTCGCCTTTAAATCCGCCACCCGCCAAATCTCATCTCAGTCAAACTCTCCAAACTTCACAGTCCGCAAAATTTTTGTCTCTTTGTCCAAAAAAAAAGGAAAAAAAAAATCAAAAAGTTCATAAAAAATTTCTGTTCACATATAAAAACAGTTTGAGGTAAATCTGAGGAATCTGAATCCTGATAATCTCTGAGTCTGACGCCGACGAAGGCCGCAGGGGATCAGAGGGGAGTGGTCGCCATGGTAACAGTGAACCTCTGAGACTCGGTCAGTCCTCTGAGGTGTGACTTCGTTTATGAACGCTCAGACCGCCCGAGGTCACGTACGTTTTCCCGCACAGGTCGCACCAGTACGGTTTCTCTCCCGTGTGCAGACGGCGGTGGAGCTTCATGGCGCTCCCTCGGGCGAAGTGTTTCCCGCACACGTCGCACCAGTACGGTTTCTCTCCGGTGTGAGTCCTCAGGTGACGGACCAGGGGGCTGTGCTTGGCGAAGGATTTCTCGCAGTGCTCGCACTTGTACGGTTTCTCTCCGGTGTGAATGCGGCGGTGGAATTTGAGGGAGGCGGCGTTGGTGAACATCTTCTCGCACTGGTCACAGGGGTACTGGTTCTCTCTGGTGTGGATGTTCTGGTGGGTCTTGAAGTGACCCCTGTGGGCGAACGTGGCGCCGCACTGATCGCAGCTGTACGGTTTCTCTCCCGTGTGAACGCGTTTATGAATCTTTAACATCCCCGCCCTGGCGAAGCTTTTCCCGCACATGTCGCAGCGGTGCGGTTTCTCCCCCGTGTGAATCTTCTGATGGTCCTTCAGGTGAGTCGGGCGAGCGAACGTCTTCCCGCACTCGCCGCAGCCGTACGGTTTCTCTCCCGTGTGAATGCGGCGGTGGGTTTTCAGGTTACCTGAGTTACAGAAATTTTTCCCACAATCCTCACAGCTGTACGGTTTCTCCCGCCGAGTCTTCAGACCCGCGGACGTCTCTGAGGATTTATCATCCAGATGGTCTTTGAATCCTTTTCGTCCTCTCCGTTTCTATGGCAACAGATGAACAGAAGAAGAGGAGAGTTAGTGAGACGACAGAGTTTGTATAAAAACAGGAGCGTCTCTGTCGCCTCTATAACCACCTGTGTTTGTTTTTAATCCTCGAAGTGTTAATTTTCTGAATATGTCAGGTAACAAACTGAATTAACGTCTGAAAATCTTCGTTTTTAACCCTTTAGTGTACGAACCTTAACTCAAAAAATCAAATATGAGTGGGACAACTTTAGACGTAAACAACTCACAGAGACACATTAACACAGTAAGTCTTCGTTCACTCTGCAGGTTCTGACGCACAATTCCGACTTTTTAGTTCAATCCGATCTTTTTGTGCGTCGTTCACGTTACAGTGACCCTCATGAACACAAATATCTCTCCGCTCCTGTTTGTGTTGAACAATGGTGACGTTTGTCTCATATTGATGACGTAAAGGTCGGATAAATGCGACCTGATTTTGACACGAGTAATTCCATAAAATATTCATTTCTAATATTTGACATCATCTCGATTCTGTTTTCATTTATTTATGACCAAAATTCTCGTTTGACTCAAATACTTTTTATTTCACCACCTACTCGTCCACGAACACCCCCACCTTTTTACACCACCTGTTTTTCTCAGCTGATGTTACTGATCGATCAATAAAGAGAAGTTTTAAATGATCAGTAGGTCGTGATTTCAAACAGTTTCCAAAAGAGCATTTTTGGTCCATTTGTTGCTCTTAAATAAATAAAAACAGAATCAAGATGTTTTCAAATATTAAAAATAAATATTCTGTTGAATTACTTTATCGTGTCAAACGTGTTTTTTTGTCTCTCACTCATATTTCAGATTTTGGATTCGTCCACTAAAGGTTTAAAAATGAAGATTTTCAGACATTTCCTGAAAATTTACACTTTTAAAGATTAAAAAAACAACTTTTCCATCTGGACAGAATAAACGTCATAGAATCTGTTCTGATGAGGAAAATAAAAACAGAATTAAAACGATCAAAACAAAAGAGTTTCTGTGAAGATCTCATTCAACAAACTACAAAATATAAAACATGGAACAGAATTAAATAAAGAGCAAAATCATGTTCAGAAAACAACACCAGGTGGCGCTCTTGGTCCAGAAAAGCTCGAATAAACGTGTGAATTTAACAGTTTAAACACGATGAACTAAAGAGACAAAGAGTGTTTCTCTGAACAGGAACCCGCGGTCAGGGTGTCTCCTGGTCTTTGGGTCGACCTTCAGGCTGAGGTGTCAACTCTGAGCGATCCCAGCCGAGGTCAGGATGTGGATTCGGTCTCAGGGTCCTGTCTGACCCGGACTCGGTCTCTTTGAAGTGTAAAAGATTCACGATCAGCCTCATCGGGGGAGGAGCCCTCAGCTCTGTCCTGGGGGGCCGTAAGAAGGTCAGAACTTTGGTATGAGAGTTAGTCCCACCTCCTGTCCTGATCTCAGGGGGGTCCGCGGTCCTCAGAGGGTGAATTAAAGGTGGAGAAGCAGAAACTGCGGTTGAGTTTGACACCCGCGGTCTACATGAGTCTCACATTTAGAGTATTGATCATTTTAATACAGATTAGTAAAGTAAAGACCGCGTGGACAGACTGTCTCCGAGAGTCAAACTCTTCTAAAGACAGAGACATCTATCTGTCTAACATAGATCTGTTTTCATCCACATTAGTACCGGAACTCTTTGATCCACGACGTACAAACTAATGTTTAAAGTGTTTTTTTAGGGGCTTTTACTTTGAAAAGACTCAGAGGAATGCTGACGTCACAGCCCGCCCTACACAGCCTCTGATTAGATGAGGACGTCCGGAAGTTTCTGTGATTGACAGCTTTTAAAAAAACACTAAAACTGGATCTTTGAAACCCCTTAAAGTTCTCCAGAACCAGAACTCCGGGACCGAGGACTACAGAACCCGGGAGTAAAACCTCCGAACCAAGAACCGGAGAACGAACCGCTCCGAGTCCTCTAATGTCGTCACTTCCTGGAAGAGACGCTCCCTGTAAGCTTTTCAAAATAAAAGTATAGATCTGTGAAAATAAAGTCGTTAAAGTTCTTCCGGTCTAAACACTCCGTTTCTAAGAGACTCTGAACCGGAGACTTTAAAAGAACCGGACCCGCCAAACTCCGACACGAGCCGAACACGTGAACTCTCACCTGACCGCGAGGACTTCCTGAGCACGAGGCTGAGTCCAGCAGCTGGTGGTCCGGGTTTTGGTCCTCCATAGCCCCCTGGTCCTGGTCTCTGAGGTCCAGCAGCTTCTCTCTCAGAACAGCTGGTTCTTATCAAGCTTCTCTCTTCTCGCGATATCACAGCGTCTCGTGAGCTTTCACAGGCGGCACTAAGCCCCGCCCCCTTTTCCTCACGGCTGCTCGGAGGTCAACAAAGTCCGGTTCGAGATGCAATAAGGAGGACTTTAAGTGGACTCCAGAACCGGGGGCGGTACTTTATTATCTACAAAATAAAAAGATCCATCAGACCAGGTCTGAGGATCAAACTGAACCATGACAGAGGAGACCCAGAACCACCAGAGACCCCTCTGGACCTGAACCCATGTAAGGTGGGCTGAGGTCTGATGATGTGGTCTCCTGACTCACGTGGTCATCTGGACTCTGTTACTTACGAAGGACCTCCTCCTCGTGTCTCCTGTTGGTCTAAAGGTCAAACATCTCGATTAAGTCCAGCTGCCCCCCTTTTTAACGAGGATCTGGAAATCCTGGACTCTGCGTCCCCCTCTCTAAAGAGTAGACGGTCCACCAGACCGGTTCTCAGCTCCAAATCCAGCATCCCTGATGGTCTGAGGGTCACCAGAGTCCATGTCCTGGTATCTTCTACATCTGGTCTGATGGATCCAAATCTAACCTTCTTCTAGAAAGGACAACTGGACTTAACTCAACATAGAGCTAGAAATCATAGATGCTGCATCCTCAGTTTTAAACAAGATCTCCAGATTTAGGAGGAACATCTGCGTCCATCCAGACCACGACTTCTTCTTCTTCTTCTTCTAAATTAACGGTTTTAATGAGTTTCTACGTTCCTGTCTTCAGCGGCGGTTTACCGCAGACCTTCCTGGTTCTTCCCGTTTCCTGTTGTGACGCAGAAGAACAGAAACACGGACGCCAAACGGAGAAACAACAAACAGCTGATTTATTCATCGGACTTTAGGAGGACGTTCTTCAAAGATCTGAGACGTCCAACAAGGAAACACAAACTCATGCAAAGAGTCACTGCAACGGCCGAGAGAGAAGGAGGAGAAGGAGGAGGAGGAGGAGGAGGAGGAGAAGAAGGAGGAGGAGGAGGAGAAGGAAAAGAAGAAGAAGAAGGAGGAGAAGGAGAAGGAAAAGAAGAAGAAGAAGGAGGAGAAGGAAAAGGAGGAGAAGAAGGAGAAGGAGGAGAAGAAGAAGAAGGAGAAGAAGGAGGAGAGGAGAAGAAGGAGAAGAAGGAGAAGAAGAAGGAGAAGAAGGAGGAGAAGAAGGAGGAGAAGGAGGAGGAGAAGAAGGAGGAGGAGAAGAAGAAGAAGAAGAAGAAGAAGAAGGAGGAGAAGAAGGAGAAGAAGAAGGAGGAGGAGAAGAAGAAGAAGAAGAAGGAGGAGAAGAAGGAGGAGAATGTTAAATTCAGCTCAAACTGATCAGAAGTCAAAGACGATCAAACGTCGTTAGAAGAAAAGCTCATGCTGGGTCCTGCTGGACGCCGTGGTCGCCATGACGACATCACGGCGTCACTGAGTCTGTGCACACGGTAAAAAAAATTAACAACGATGAAAAGAGGCGGACTCCTCCTCCTGGACGTGACGCAGGAACCTCCGCCGCTGCGTCTTCAGTCTTTGTCGTCCTGAAGAGTCGCCGCCGTCTGACCGATTAACTTGAGGACGAAAACAGTTTGATGGAACCCCGCCGTGACCTGTGACATCATCAGAGCGGGCGTGAGACGTCAGCGTGTGACGTCACCGAGGAGACGGCGTGACCTGGCGGCGCTTGGTCTGATCTGAAGCTCCTGCGGTGGTTTTGGCGCCCTCCTGTGGGCGGGGCAGGCGTGAACGCGGTCCGCCTGAGCAGGTCAGAACCCTCACAGGAGCTTCAGACGCCTGACCCCGCCCCCTCCGGACCCGGGTCCAGACCTCCTCTTCATGGATTCAGTCTGAGCTCCAAACCGCCGTCTCAGCGGTCTGTCAGAGGTCAGAGGTCAGAGGAGTTCCTTAAGACTCGACCTTACAGTCTGTGCAGCACACACACACACACACACACACACACGTGCACGCTCACACACACGCGCTCACACACACACTCTCACGTGAACAGTTCATGCTGTAATAAATAAAAACATCATCTCTAGAAAGTCGACATTAGAATATAGATATTTATATATAGATGTTTGATCTATAGATGTGTGTTTAAATAGATTTAAGTACTTTGTTAAACTCCGCCTCTTTAAAACAACGTCCCGCTGACCGTGAACGCACCGCTTCCTTCAACAGGGCGGAGCCGGGATTGTGTCGCCCTCAGCTCCGCCTCTCAGGAGAGCACACACACACACACACACACACACAGACACACACACACACACACACACACACACACACACACACACAGACACACACACAGACACACACACACACACACACACACACACACACACACACACACAGACACACAGACACACACACAGACACACACACAGACACACACACACACACACACACACACACACACACACACACACACACACACACACACACAGAGGTGATCCAGAGAAGCAGGTTAAAGGAGGAGTCCGTCATCTTTCTGTTGTTTTCGTGTCATCTCCTCTCCCCTCCTCTCTCTCCTCTCCTCTCTCTCTCTCCTCTCTCCTCTCTCCTCTCTCTCCTCTCTCCTCTCTCCTCTCTCTCCTCCTCTCCTCCTCCTCTCCGTCTCCCTCCACACAGTGAGTGAGTGAGCGTGGTGGTGGCGGCGGTGGTCTTCAGTAGATGTTTAGGTGGTCAGTCCTCTCCTCTCCAGCTCCCTCGTCTGTTTCAGTTCTTTGATCCTGAAGAAGAAACAGCAGAAACATGAGACCTCGGACCTCGGACCCGGGTCTGTGTGTGTGTGTGTGTGTGTGTGTGTGTGTGTGTGTGTGTGTGTGCGTGTCTGACCTGTGTCTGCAGCGCCTCAGGAACCTCATGATCTTTCTGGCCGCCTGGTCCTGTTTCTTCGTCAAGAAAGACCCCCTGAAGGAGACAGGGGACATTTATCGATCAGCAGAACCTGAACCAGGTCTGTAGCTGGACTGGACTGAGTGTGGTTCTTGTGGTGGGTCCAGTGGGTCTTACTTGATCTTGGGGTTGTGGCTGGCCGCCCCCCTCGGCGCCTGTTTCAGCCTCTCGTACTCCTTGTAGCTGCGGTAGTACTGCTGGATCAGAACCGCCGCCCGCCGACTCTGCTGGAACCGCTTCTGCTCGTAGTAGGACCTGAACTTGGACTGGATCAAGATGGCCGCCTGGGTCATCTTCTTGTAGAGCGCGTACTGAGAGGGGGGACAGGGACAGGGACAGGGACAGGAGTCAGAGGACCAACAGAGACCAGAGGAGGAGGAGGAGGAGGAGCTGTGAGGCTCACTGACCAATCAGAGGGAGGACTGAGACGAAGAACTACCTGACCTGAAGTATGTGGACACACCTGTGAGACACACCTGTCCGTCAGAGGACTAGAGCATGACACGGGATTTTCACTCCTGTCCCGTCCCACTACCGGAGAAAAAATCCTGGACCGGAGTAAAAACATGACTCCCACTCCGTTTAAATAAAACAAAGGTGGAAAAAACGTTTTTATTTGAGTGCATTTCATCGGCTGCACTTTTACCTAAAAAAAAAAATTTTGGGTAAAATTTACCTGAAATCTTTAAACGAAAGAAATTTACCTAAAATTTTACCAATTTTTTTTTTATTTGAGTCTTTTTTTATTTTAAGATAAAATTTTAAATGTTTGTTTTAAAAATATTGAAATAAATATGAAACATTTAATTTAATTTTTAAAATAACGTTTTAATTTTTTTAATTTTTATTTAAAATAAATTTTTAAATTTTTATTTTTCAAAATATTAAAATATTAAATATTTAAAAATGTTTTACTAAATTTTTTAAATAACATTTAAATTTTACTATTTGAATTTTTTTATTTAAAATACATTTTTAAATTTTTATTTTTCAAAATATTAAAATATTAACTATTTAAAAATATTTTATTACATTTTTAAAATAACATTTTAAATTTTTTTATTTGTTTTTTTATTTTAAAATAAATTTTTTAATTTTGATTTTTCCAAAATATTAAAAACTTTAAATTAAAAAATATTTTATTACATTTTTTTAATAACATTTAAAAATAAATTAAATACTAAAATGTTATTTTACCAAAAATTTTCCCACTTTTACCTTTTAAATTTTAGGTAAGAGGTAAAACGCTTAAACCAAGCGCGGCTGTCGGCTCTGAACATCGAACAGAACATTATCGCACTTCTGAATCTCCTAACCCGACAGACGATGACGAGGAATAACCAATCAGAGCCCAGCACTTCTATCCAATCAGAGGCGAAGGAGGGCGGGGCCTTCCCTCTGAGTGTCCACATACTTCCGGTCATGTGATTAATGAGGTCAGACTGACGCCAACGACAACGAGCTTCAGGTAAGGAGACACCTGGACATCATGACATCATCAGGAGACGACGGGCTGAAGGTCTGAGGGCTGCTGTACACACACACACACACTAACACACACGTACACACACACACACACACACAATGACTCCACATCACTACATCTACTGTCAGCTATTTTACCTTCAGAGCTATCCATGTTAGCTAGCCAGAGAGAGAGAGAGAGAGAGAGAGAGAGAGAGAGACGGTGAAGAGACACAGCAGGTTAGTTCAGTGTTAGTGAAGCTGGAGGACACATACACACACACACACACACACACACACTCTAACACACACACACACACACACCTGTTTGTACTTCCTGTAGCATCTCTGGATGACGGCGGCGGCCATGTCCTGCTGCTCCTTTAACCTTCGACCCTGAACAAAGACACAAACATTAACACAACACGGCCTCCAGGGGGCAGCGTGACACCATGTGTGTGTGTGTGTCTGTGTGTGCGTGTGTGTACCTTGTATCGTCTGAAAGCGTTCTGGATGATCCTGGCCGCCTCGTACAGCTCCCTCTGTTCGCCGTCCGTCAGCGTCAACAGAGCGAAGTCTCTCTCCATCTTCCCATTGGCTGAGGCGTTCAGGAACTCCGCCCACGCCGCAGACGAGGGTGGGCGGAGCCTCTGGAGAGCCAGTGCGCTGAGAGGTGAAGGCGGGCACACACGTCTGCGAGACCACACAAACACACTCTGAGCCACGCCTGTTCGTTAACTTGGTTATAATCATGAGGGAGGGGCGGGGCTTACCTGGGCGGGGAGTGCGTGTGGGCGTCGACCGTGTCCAGGTACGTGGCCAACCAGGTGTCCTGAATGGCCGGATTGTCCCTCCTCTCTCTGAGGGGTGACTCCGCCCCTCTGGGGAAGTCCTCCTGTTTGATTCGCTCAGGGGTCGCCTCGATGATCTGCTCCGCCAGTGTTGCCATGTCAACCTGTGAGAGACGGTTACCATGGAAACGAGAGCTCAGGACTTCAGTGGGAGGGACTGAAACTGAGGGACTAAAACTGAGGGACTGAAACTGAGGGACTAAAACTGAGGGACTGAAACTGAGGGACTGAAACTGAGGGCCTGAAACAGAGAGACTAAAACAGAGGCACTAAAACTGAGGGCCTGAAACTGAAGGATTAAAACAGAGGGACTAAAACTGAGGGCCTGAAACTGAGGGACTAAAACAGAGGGATTTAAACAGAGGGATTTAAACAGAGGGACTGAAACTGAGGGACTAAAACAGAGGGATTTAAACAGAGGGATTTAAACAGAGGGATTTAAACAGAGGGACTGAAACTGAGGGAATAAAACGGAGGGACTAAAACAGAGGGATTTAAACAGAGGGACTAAAACTGAGGAACTGAAACTGAGGGACTAAAACAGAGGGATTTAAACTGAGGGACTAAAACAGAGGGATTTAAACAGAGGGATTTAAACTGAGGGACTAAAACTGAGGGACTGAAACTGAGGGCCTGAAACTGAGGGACTAAAACTGAGGGCCTGAAACAGAGAGACTAAAACAGAGGCACTAAAACTGAGGGCCTGAAACTGAAGGATTAAAACAGAGGGACTAAAACTAAGGGCCTGAAACTGAGGGACTAAAACAGAGGGATTTAAACAGAGGGATTTAAACAGAGGGACTGAAACTGAGGGACTAAAACGGAGGGACTAAAACAGAGGGATTTAAACAGAGGGACTAAAACTGAGGAACTGAAACTGAGGGACTAAAACAGAGGGATTTAAACTGAGGGACTAAAACAGAGGGACTAAAACAGAGGGACTTAAACAGAGGGACTAAAACTGAGGGACTAAAACTGAGGGACTAAAACAGAGGGACTAAAACAGAGGGACTTAAACAGAGGGACTAAAACTGAGGGACTGAAACTGAGGGACTAAAACAGAGGGACTGAAACAGAGGGACTAACTTCAGGGTTCTATCTTTAGGGACTAGAACTGAGTGACTAGAACTGAGGAACTAAAACTGAGGGACTAAAACAGAGGGACTAAAACAGAGGGACTAACTTCAGGGACTATTTTTAGGGACTAAATCTGAGGGACTAGAACTGAGGAACTAAAACTGAGGGACTAAAACAGAGGGACTAAAGCAGAGGGACTAATACTGAGGGACTGAAACAGAGGGACTGAAACTGAGGGACTAAAACTGAGGGACTAGAACTGAGGAACCCTGACCCCTAAACCTTCAGGTATAAAATCCCGGTCTGAACCCGGTGCTTTAGTCTCCTTCCTGTCACGTGATTGGTCGAACGTACCTGCAGCACCTCCTCCTCCAGGTACTCCTCCTCCTCGCCTTCGTTCTCGGCGTTCTCGCTGTAGCTCAGCAGCTGCTCCTCCAGCGTCGCCGCCAAGTGCGCCCGCCGTCCTCCTGTGGAGTGTGTGTGGGGGCAGGAGTGTGTGTGAGCGGGGGAGGGGGGACAGGTACTCTCGTAGTCCATCAGGTAAAGGGTCGAGTCCCGGGAACTGCAGGGGTTCAAACCTGAAACACAGATTAAGAAAATAAGAGCGGGGACAAAACAGAACACAGGCTTTTATTTTGAAAGGCCACGGTTACCTGGGTTACCTGAACTCAGCGCCGAGCTTGGCTCCTCCTCCTCCTCCCACATGGATAAAGGAGGGAGGGAGGACAAGGGGAGGGAGGAAGGGGAGGGAGGAGAGACGGGGAGGGAGGAGGAAGAGGAGGAAGGAGACGAGGGAGAGGAGGGGGAAGTGTCCATGGGGGCGGGGCCACTGGAGTAGGCGGAGCTTGGTGAGGGTGAGGAGGGGTCGCTGGGGGAGGGGAGGCTGCTGGAGGAGCTCAGACCTGAGGGGGAGAGCAGAAACAGCCAATCAGAGCAGCTGAATCAGGTCACATGACCGTACAGGTGTGTTACCTGTGTTACCTGTGTCTGGGCTGGTGGACAGCGGGGACGGGGGCAGCTGCGGCTGAGGCGTCGCCGCTGTGGGCGTGTCCGCCGGAGGGGTGTGAGCGTCATTGGGCGTCATGTGCGTGTTGGTGTGCAGCTCCTCCAGCACCATGGCGAGGCGGGTGTGACCACGAGAGCGAGCGACGGCGAGCGGCAGGCGTCCCAGGGAGTCGGGGATCCCCAACGCCGAACTGTTCCAGCCGTACAGGAGCTCCGCCGCCCTCTGGTGGCCGAGAGCGCACGCCCACATCTGAGGGACACATCGGTGACGGGTCAATGATGTCACAGAAAACAGACCAATCAGAGCTCACAGACGGTCATGACGTGTGTTTGTTTTACCAGAGGGGTGCAGGAGAAGTGGTCGATGTTGAGAGGATCTACTTCCTGTTCCAGATCCAGACTGTCGCTGTTGACGGTCCTGAAACAGAGACACAGGTGAGAGTCACACCTGCAGGTTCTTCTCTAGTCCACACAGGTGGGTCCAGGTTTACCTCCAGTGGATCAGGGTGTGGATCAGGTGGGTGTATCCCTGAGCAGCAGCCAGGTGGAGGAGGGTCATCCCGCGGTGACGGACTGAGTGAGGGAGTCGCTCTCCTCCTCCTCCTCCTGTCCATCTTCCTCCCTTCATCATGCGCTCACAAACTCCCACAATCCTCCTCTCGAACCACTGAGACGACTGTGGGACACACACACACACACAGACACACACACACACACACACACACACAGACACACACACACAGACACACACACACACACACACACACACACACACACAGACACACACAAACACAGACACACACAGACACACACAGACACAGACACACACACACACAGACACACAGACACATATACAGACACACACACACACAGACACACAGACACACACACACACACACACACACACAGACACACACACACACAGACACAGACACACACAGACACAGACACACACAGACACACACAGACACACACACAGACACACACACAGACACACAGACACACACAGACACACACACACACACAGACACACACACACACACACACACACACACAGACACACACAGACACACAGACACACACACACACACAGACACACACAGACACAGACACACACAGACACACAGACACACACAGACACAGACAGGGTCAGTAAAAACTCGTCATCGTGTGATTGAACGTGAATCTGCGGGTTCTCATGAGTTCTCGTGATTACCGCTGTCTGTAATCCGCCAAGAAATTCGCCGCACAAACTGATCCGGTAGGAATTGACGGACGCTGAAAATCACCGCCATACCTATCAAATCACCACGGTTCCAGTTTGAGTGAAAATTGTCTAAATCTAGAGTCCTGTATTTACATTTGAGTCCGTCTATGTCAGTCTTCTCCCCTCTGTAGACCCTTACAATGACCCACTCTCTAAAAGTCTGCGCTGGTCTCTGATGGCGGTCTTTGAAAACCCTTATTTCAGCCTCCATCTTTGTCGTCAGGAAGACGTTTGGAACAATCAGGAACCAGAGCAGGACTTTAGTCTGGGGCCAAGACTCAAGACTAAACCCTGCTAGGACTGAAACTGAGGGACTGAAACAGAGGGACTAAAACAGAGGGACTGAAACTGAGGGACTGAAACAGAGGGACTAAAACAGAGGGACTGAAACTGAGGGACTGAAACAGAGGGACTGAAACAGAGGGACTGAAACTGAGGGACTGAAACTGAGGGACTGAAACAGAGGGACTAAAACAGAGGGACTGAAACTGAGGGACTGAAACTGGGGGACTGAAACAGAGGAACTAAAACAGAGGGACTGAAACTGGGGGACTGAAACAGAGGAACTAAAACAGAGGGACTATAACTGAGGGCCTGAAACTGAGGGACTGAAACTAAGGGACTAAAATTGAGGGCCTGAAACTGAGGGACTAAAACAGAGGAACTAAAACTAAGGGACTAAAACAGAGGAACTAAAACTAAGGGACTAAAACAGAGGGACTGAAACTAAGGGACTAAAATTGAGGGACTGAAACTGAGGGACTGAAACTGAGGGACTAAAACAGAGGGACTGAAACTGAGGGACTAAAACAGAGGGACTGAAACAGAGGGACTGAAACTGAGGGACTGAAACTGAGGGACTAAAACAGAGGGACTGAAACTGAGGGACTGAAACAGAGGGACTGAAACAGAGGAACTAAAACAGAGGGACTGAAACTGAGGGACTGAAACTGGGGGACTGAAACAGAGGAACTAAAACAGAAGGACTGAAACTGGGGGACTGAAACAGAGGAACTAAAACAGAGGGACTATAACTGAGGGCCTGAAACTGAGGGACTGAAACTAAGGGACTAAAATTGAGGGCCTGAAACTGAGGGACTAAAACAGAGGAACTAAAACTAAGGGACTAAAACAGAGGAACTAAAACTAAGGGACTAAAACAGAGGAACTAAAACTAAGGGACTAAAACAGAGGGACTGAAACTAAGGGACTAAAATTGAGGGACTGAAACTGAGGGACTAAAACAGAGGAAATGAAACTGAGGGACTGAAACTGAGGGACTTAAACTGAGGGACTAAAACTGAGGGACTAAAACTGAGGGACTGAAACTAAGGGACTAAAATTGAGGGACTGAAACTGAGGGACTGAAACTGAGGGACTGAAACAGAGGAACTAAAACTAAGGGACTAAAATTGAAGGAGTAAAACTGAGGAAATAAAACAGAGGAACTAAAACTAAGGGACTAAAACTAAGGGACTAAAATTGAGGGACTGAAACTGAGGGACTGAAACTAAGGGACTAAAATTGAGGGACTAAAACAGAGGGACTGAAACTGAGGGACTGAAACAGAGGAACTAAAACTAAGGGACTGAAACTGAGGGAGGTGTTGGAGGTGAACTGACTGTAGGCGGCTGCATTTAAGAATAAAAACACCTAACCCTAAAATAATCTAACAAAAGTTCCTCAGCTGTTCTTTATAGTATCAGACGTCCTTAATAACAAAATCAAAGGCGTCATTTTCAAAATGGCGTCCATGATGGTCGGAAGCCAATCAGAGGCGAAGGAGGCGAGAACTTCCCCTACCAACCCACCAAAAAAAATTTCCCCCACTGAACTCAGGTCTCCAGCTGTGCCGGTTCAGGAACCGGTTCAGTGGAGCTGCAGAGCTCACAGGACTAAAGTGGGATAATCCAAACTAATGGACTTAAACACAAACACACAGGCGGTCATGTGACATCTTCGACCAATCAGAGTGTTTCTAACATCTCTATGAAACAGGCAGGAACTGTTTCCAGGAATAACGCCTTATCGACTATTAATAACCAATGAGAGCGCGTCATTTCAGGTGAACTGTCTCACCCCCAACCCCACCCCCCCACCTGGTTGGAAACATTACATTCACCCCCCCCCTCCCCTCCAGTTTTTCCCTCCGACTGTCCCTGGCATGCTTGCCTCATCACCCTCCCTCTCTGAGTGACGCACAAGGACGAGCGAGGCTATAAATGACTGACATCAGAGAGAGAGAGAGAGAGAGCACTTCCTGTTATCACACAGCTGTCAGTCATCGATCTGCTCTCTGACAGCTGCTGCACAAACACTCGACCCAGAACTCAGACCAAAGAGGGTCTGAACAAAACCAGCCGAGAGGAAAACCTCCGTCTGAGTCTGGACTCAGAAACTCGCTCCAGGTTCGGGACCCAAAGGACCGGGTTCTGGAGGCCTTAGTGGACTCAGAAGACCAGGTTCTGTAGGGCTCGACAGTGCGACCGTTTCACTGCGACTAAAAATCGATGTGTGGGAATTATAAAACATATTTGCGAATAAAAAAAAAAAATCAACAAATGTTTTTTTTCTCCTGTAAATACGGCGGTGAAGTTAGTTTCAGGTTGGATATATTTTCCTGTAAATATGGCGGTGAAGTTAGTTTCAGGTTGGATATATTTTCCTGTAAATACGGCGGTGAAGTTAGTTTCAGGTTGGATATATTTTCCTGTAAATACAAGTTAGTTTCAGGTTGGATATATTTTCCTGTAAATACGGCGGTGAAGTTAGTTTCAGGTTGGATATATTTTCCTGTAAATACGGCGGTGAAGTTAGTTTTAGGTTGGATATATTTTCCTGTAAATACGGCGGTGAAGTTAGTTTCAGGTTGGATATATTTTCCTGTAAATACGGCGGTGAAGTTAGTTTCAGGTTGGATATATTTTCCTGTAAATACGGCGGTGAAGTTAGTTTCAGGTTGGATATATTTTCCTGTAAATACGGCGGTGAAGTTAGTTTCAGGTTGGATATATTTTCCTGTAAATACGGCGGTGAAGTTAGTTTTAGGTTGGATATATTTTCCTGTAAATACGGCGGTGAAGTTAGTTTCAGGTTGGATATATTTTCCTGTAAATACGGCGGTGAAGTTAGTTTCAGGTTGGATATCTGACGGACATTCTCTGAGGATCTACCGGTGTCTTCTCTCTCTCCATAACCGGGAATAACAACAGCAGCGCGGTTAAATCTACTCGACACCCTCACTGTCAACGTCGGTGTTGAATAAGGGACCGTCAATAAATTACCGGTTGATGTTCTCAGAAAAGGCTGTTTTCCTTCAATAGCTTCACTGTCATGTGACCAAAAGACCTAAAACTGATTTCTAATAATAGTACTAAGGTCGACAAACATTATTGATCAGTGTTCCTCTAAAGTTCTTTGTGCTCTCTTTAACTTTTTTAGCCTCGGTGATAAAAGTTCGTGTCTTCCTTCGCCGTCGAACAGCAGCAGAGAGGTGAAGGCGGAGCAGCAGGGTTCAGCAGAGGCGGATCTGTTTTAACAGGATTTCCCGTTCTGGTTCAGGTCTTCTTCTTAACCCGTTTATCCGATCAACAGTCACCTTCCTCCCCACAGCCTGTGACTCGGCAGCTTTTAGTCCAACCCTCGCCAAACCTCCTGAGAGTTTGACCTTTGACCACGACGTCACCTGAACTTCCATCTGCGGTCGTTAATTCGACCTGAGACACAGAGGTTTTTTGGACTCTGAAGTTGTTGAAGATGTGATGCTTTAAAACTAACAAAAACATGAATGTATAAAGTTTTTACTGCACTTTTATTAGACGGACCGTGAGCTCGCTCTGATATCAGTCCTGAAGGTTTTCCTGACTCGAACCTACACAGCCGTTTCATGGTTCAGCCTCACCTGTTCATGGTCCTCAGGTAGGGGTGGAGGAGGGGGCGTGGCCAGCTGGCTGCCATGTTGATTATGCTGCTGCTGTTGTTGTTGTTGTTGTTGGTGGTGGTGGTGGTGGTGATTGTCACGGGCCGCCATCTCCGCCATCCTGCGCTCCATCTGCTCCAACCGCTCCAGGATCGACATCCTGAACTGATTATCTGCAGAGAAACACAGAGAGTGAGACCTCACAGCACCGCAGAGGAGAAGATCTCTGCTGGAGTCTGACAACGACAGAGAGGAACACTCCACGAGATCAGAGAGAGTGTGTGTGTGTGAGTGTGTGTGTGTGAGAGAGAGAGAGAGAGAGAGAGAGAGAGAGAGAGAGGGAGAGAGAGAGAGAGAGAGGGAGAGTGTGTGTGAGAGTGTGTGTGAGAGAGGGAGAGAGAGAGAGAGAGAGAGGGAGAGAGTGTGTGTGTGTCGACAGCTCTAACCAGGAGACAAACGGAAAACTCTTCTCTTAAATTACTGTTTAAAGAGAGCCTCTTTAACACACACATACACACACGTCATGTTTCTGTGTGTCAGATATATGAGGACTTCTAGTTTGTCCCCTAACAGAAGGTGAGTCCCCATGATGTTGGTGATACGTGTGCACAAACCCACACCCACATCTCACACACACACACACACACACACACACACACACACACACACACACACACACACACACACACACACACACACACACACTGAGTGTCTCAAATGGAAACTCTCTCCACTGACTTCAATCATCCAGCCGCCTGGCACAGCCACAGTGTGTGTGTGTGTGTGTGTGTGTGTGTAGGAAATAAAAGCAGTCTCCTTAATATAGCCTGATACACTGTGACCCGTGGACACACACACACACACACACACAGGGCTGCACTGACTGGTTATTTTCCTCTGGTGGTCAGTCCCGTCCCCCCTCACATAAATCCTGATCCTGCAGAGAAAGTCCCCCGTGGACCAGGTCCAAGGTCCAGGAGGAGGACTACCATCAGTTCAAAGGACCAGATCTGATCCCTGATCCAACATCTGAACACCCCGACTCATCAAAACCAGATATGAGATCCTAAAACACTTCACCGATGAATTTATCATTTATAATAACAGAACTGAACGACTGTTTCTGTCCGACTGTTTCTGCCTGACTGTTCCTGTTTAACAGTTTCTGTCTGACTGTTTCTGTCTGACTGTTTCTGCCTGACTGTTCCTGTTTAACAGTTTGTGTCTGACTGTTTCTGACTGACTGTTTCTGCCTGACTGTTCCTGTTTAACAGTTTGTGTCTGACTGTTTCTGTCTGACTGTTCCTGTTTAACAGTTTCTGTCTGACTGTTTCTGTTTGACTGTTTCTGTCTGACTGTTTCTGTCTGACTGTTTCTGCCTGACTGTTCCTGTTTAACAGTTTGTGTCTGACTGTTTCTGTCTGACTGTTTCTGTCTGACTGTTCCTGTTTAACAGTTTCTGTCTGACTGTTTCTGTTTGACTGTTTCTGTCTGACTGTTTCTGCCTGACTGTTCCTGTTTAACAGTTTGTGTCTGACTGTTTCTGTCTGACTGTTCCTGTTTAACAGTTTCTGTCTGACTGTTTCGGTCTGACTGTTTCTGACTGACTGTTTCTGTTTGACTGTTTCTGTCTGAGTGTTTTTGTCTGACTGTTTCTGTTCGACTGTTTCTGTCTGACTGTTTCTGTTTGACTGTTTCTGACTGACTGTTTCTGTCTGACTGTTTCTGTCTGACTGTTTCTGTTTAACTGTTTCTGTCTGACTGTTTCTGACTGATTGTTTCTGTCTGACTGTTTCTGTCTGACTGTTTCTGTCTGACTTTTTCTGTCTGTTTCTGACTGACTGTTTCTGTTTGACTGTTTCTGACTGACTGTTTCTGTCTGAGTGTTTTTGTCTGACTGTTTCTGTTCGACTGTTTCTGTCTGACTGTTTCTGTTTGACTGTTTCTGTCTGACTGTTTCTGTCTGACTGTTTCTGTCTGACTGTTTCTGTTTAACTGTTTCTGTCTGACTGTTTCTGACTGATTGTTTCTGTCTGACTGTTTCTGTCTGACTGTTTCTGTCTGACTTTTTCTGTCTGTTTCTGACTGACTGTTTCTGTTTGACTGTTTCTGACTGACTGTTTCTGTCTGATTGTTTCGGTCTGACTGTTTCTGTTTGACTGTTTTTGTCTGACTGTTTTTGTCTGACTGTTTCTGTTTAACTGTTTCTGTCTGACTGTTTCTGACTGATTGTTTCTGTTTGACTGTTTCTGACTGACTGTTTCTGTCTGATTGTTTCGGTCTGACTGTTTCTGTTTGACTGTTTTTGTCTGACTGTTTTTGTCTGATTGTTTCTGTCTGATTGTTTTGTTCTGACTGTTTCTGTCTGACTGTTTTTGTCTGACTGTTTCTGTTTGACTGTTTCTGACTGATTGTTTCTGTCTGATTGTTTGTTTGACTGTTCCTGTTTAACAGTTTCTGTCTGACTGTTTCTGTCTGACTGTTTCTGTTTGACTGTTTCTGTCTGACTGTTTCTGACTGACTGTTTCTGTCTGACTGTTTCTGTCTGACTGTTTCTGTCTGACTGTTTCTGACTGATTGTTTCTGTCTGATTGTTTTGTTCTGACTGTTTCTGTCTGACTGTTTTTGTCTGACTGTTTCTGTTTGACTGTTTCTGTCTGTCTGATTGTTTTGTTCTGACTGTTTCTGTCTGACTGTTTTTGTCTGACTGTTTCTGTTTGACTGTTTCTGACTGATTGTTTCTGTCTGATTGTTTGTTTGACTGTTCCTGTTTAACAGTTTCTGTCTGACTGTTTCTGTCTGACTGTTTCTGTTTGACTGTTTCTGTCTGACTGTTTCTGACTGACTGTTTCTGTCTGACTGTTTCTGTCTGACTGTTTCTGTCTGACTGTTTCTGACTGACTGTTTCTGTTTGACTGTTTCTGTCTGACTGTTTCTGTCTGACTGTTTCTGTCTGACTGTTTCTGTCTTTCTGTCTGACTGTTTCTGACTGTTTCTGTTTCTGTCTGACTGTTTCTGACTGACCGTTTCTGTCTGACTGTTTCTGTCTGACTGTTTCTGTCTGACTGTTTCTGTCTGACTGTTTCTGTTTCTGTCTGACTGTTTCTGTCTGACTGTTTCTGTCTGACTGTTTCTGTTTCTGTCTGACTGTTTCTGTTTGACTGTTTCTGTTTGACTGTTTCTGTCTGACTGTTTCTGTCTGACTGTTTCTGTCTGACTGTTTCTGTCTGACTGTTTCTGACTGACTGTTTTTGTCTGACTGTTTCTGACTGATTGTTTCTGTCTGATTGTTTCGGTCTGACTGTTTCTGTCTGACTGTTTTTGTCTGACTGTTTCTGTCTGACTGTTTCTGTCTGACTGTTTCTGTTTGACTGTTTCTGTCTGACTGTTTCTGTCTGACTGTTTCTGTCTGACTGTTTCTGTCTGACTGTTTCTGACTGACTGTTTCTGTCTGACTGTTTCTGTTTGACTGTTTCTGTCTGACTGTTTCTGACTGACTGTTTCTGTCTGACTGTTTCTGTCTGACTGTTTCTGTCTGACTGTTTCTGTCTGACTGTTTCTGTTTCTGTCTGACTGTTTCTGTCTGACTGTTTCTGTCTGACTGTTTCTGTTTCTGTCTGACTGTTTCTGACTGACTGTTTCTGTCTGACTGTTTCTGTCTGACTGTTTCTGTCTGACTGTTTCTGACTGACTGTTTCTGACTGACTGTTTCTGTCTGACTGTTTCTGTTTGACTTTTTCTGTCTGACTGTTTCTGTCTGACTGTTTCTGACTGACTGTGAAGTGTAGAAGGACTTTTTGAACATTACAAACACGTTTCAAAGACACCCTGATCATATTGATAACTGTGATATTGATTAGCCTGATAATATTGATAAGCCTGATCATATTGATAAGCCTGATCATATTGATAACCCTGATAATATTGATAAGCCTGATCATATTGGTCACAATAATCCT